CGCATATTAAGATCCTTTAGTTAAATCTACCTTCCCAATTTAAAAAAATGTTATTTATGACCTGATGGCCCAGTACGATACCAAAAGGTAAAAACCTCAATGGAATAACCACGTGAGAGCCAAAGAACTAAACTTTATTTAGAGTACAACATGCCTAATTTGGAGGATTGAGGGAGAGAAGGTCCTAAACTATCATCCAAAAGGAGGCAACTCTGCTTGTCAGCTCAGTAATGGTTGTGACCTCATTAATAACAGGTTTATTAAGCTCATCAACGAAACCAGGCTTAGGAGACTACGCAATCCAAATCATGGCTTTCCTTGGGTCATTAAAACTTGATAATTCTAAACGGACGGGCTGTTTCGTAGCCTGAAGTACACGTGTACAAGCTTACATCTCATTATCATAAACATAGTTGCTTAAAAACCTACGGATAACGATCATGCTTTTCCTTTGTTCATTAAGCCCTTACGAATCAAATGTGACGTCATGTTTTTGTAATTACTCTGATTTAGGACATTTATTGCGTAGAGACGTTTACTTGAGTATCAAATAGAGACCTTTGCAAGATTTTTAGCTCTGATGATGTTCGTCAGCCCAGTTTTACCCTAAACGAGGAAGGATATCCTGTTGATTGCGTCAACAAGAACGTTGAATTAAAGACTAACGGCTGACGAATAATAGAAAAAGGCTATTGTCTTCTTCTGAGATCAGCCAAAGAATATTTCCATCATACACTTTCATACGAAATAATAAGTCTCCTCAACAATGCTATTTTAAAAGATTGATTAAAATCTAGCTATTCTTCGTATCTGCAAAGAAAAGTTTTATTGACTTGGTAGCTTAAATTTGTTTGTGACGATAATTCCTTGCCCTGATAATGATCGTCATATGGCAGACGAAAGCTTTGCACCTTTGCACCGGAATCGAAAGTGATTAAATCGGAAACAGCGTCACCATGAATGCTCTAATAAAGCCACTCGACAGCTGGTCAAGAGGAATCCGCCGTTGTCTTCTGGTGGAATGGACCTTCGAATCTCTTCACCAAACACTTTCACTCGAAATGGAAGTAAGGTCAACAACTGCTATAATTACTTTAAACTATCACTAATGGTTTCGTAAATATCTGTACACGTTAAGGTATATAAGCATACACATATAGATACATGCACATGCTTCCAGATTGGCCTAATTTGATCTAATAAGATCACTTTATACCTAAGCAAAATGCATGGATTTATGAATAAGCCAGAGAGTTTTCTTGACTCATTAGCTCGAATATACTAAAAAGAATGATACCCACCTCTGATGATGTCAACTATATGACAGACGAAGGCTTAGCATATTTTCATCGAAAGCAAATAAGATTGCCTAAAGGAAAGCGTCAGCTTCCAGTAAAGCCAACTGACAACTGGCCAAGATGAATCTGTTGGCGTCTTCTAATGGAATCGACCTTCGAATCTTTTCATTACACAGTTTTAATCGAAATGGAAGTAAGCTCAACAGCCCACATTGATTTCACAGAACTCTTATTTGAATAGCATTCATTAAACGCTCAGCAAAACAGAATGTTCATGTAAGCTTCATCACATCCTAAGGAGGAAATATTCTCGTGCCGTATCCGCAGCGAAAGAATAGTGTCACTATGAGAGTCAGTAACGAGCTTAGTCATTCTATCTTATTTCATAGCACATTCAAAGATGCGGGGTAAATAAGTCTATATATCACTCAGTTGCCTGTTAGTATCAACGTCTTAAGACCTGAGGTGAGCTCACACAGTACCAAGTGCTGTAAGAAAATCAATATTTAAGTTTATTTGCGTAATTATATTTAATAGTGAACGTGGACCAGCACCCGTCTGTGAATAACTGAGTATATGCTATCTTGCTCAATTTGCTGGACCTCATCAACAGGAATTTTTAAAAGCAATCAAAATCAGAATGTGTTAACCTTTCAGTCTGTTTTCCTAGCGTTGTCAAGCCTAATTATACCAGGAAATTTCCCAAATAGGTTTTTAGCATTCGGTTGTGTACCATACCTAAACAATGGCACATGCAATGGTCCATTACAACATATGTTTAATACAGACGCAATTTGACCCATTATTTTTGTCTCCGTAAAATCGACACATTTTTGAACATGAGGTACGAAATTTGAAGAAATATAGCATAAGATACGCGCGCCAATTGGAGAGCTGAGTAGATATGTGAATGGTGGCTAGCTTTAAGCTACGGACAAAAGCATAAGATAAAAGCTGAAAAAATCATGGATTAGATATGAAAAGATGATAGATTCAAGTTAATCAATTGAATAATTTTTTAGTGACTACCCAGTGAGCTGAAAGCAGAAAAAATATTGTTGCTGCCGTTGCTGCTGCGCCGCGCCACCTACATTGACGCGTCCACCAGTGCCGTCATCATCATCGACGTCGTCTTCATCGTCGTCATCATCATCTCCTGCACGACCCCCAGGGCCTTCGGGGGCTAAACCAGACTGACCAAGGCAAGTAGTGCAGGTTCGACACCCTGGATCGCCAAAGACCGAAAGAGAAATAATCGATATCGGCATAAATTTATTATATGTTTCGAGACTACCAGTAAATCAGTAATATGATATGTATTTCCCCTATTTCGTTTAAGGTGATGAAGGAAGGCTGTAGAATTTTCCCACAATGATATGAGTAGAGCTGTTTGGCTTTAAGACGATCTTCAAATTGACACAGTCCACAAAACATTCTTCCTCGTCTCACCCGCGGGAGTCACTTCTAGCTAAAGCACCTTGGTCTTCATATATATAAGTCAGCTATCTCTGCTTGTCAAAGGTTTTCCCAATCAAGAATGACTGCATTCTCGAAATCGCCCATTTCTTATAAGCACCTTCAAGGGAATTATAAAATGACTAGAGCCTTGTGGCAACATGCTAGCACTCTAATAGACAGAAAATAGTGCCCTTGGGTGTAAACATAATGCTCACTACCCCGTTTCGAATCCCGTTGACATTGCTGATGAGACCTAGGCTATTTCGAAATTGGAGTCCAGTTTAGACGATAACAACGTTTGCGCCGTGAGTTCTACTTATATTAATCCAAGTTTAAAAATAGCTTTAAGCCAGTAGGGTCAAGAAGTTCTTAATCAAGAATTACAGATACTTTCGAAAATAACTTACAAGGAAATAGTCTAAAAGTGGTATGAGTCCGTTTTCGCAATTTATTTATGTTGACAGAGGAAGCTAGTTGACCTACCTTGTCCAAGGTCCTCTGCTATAGCAGTGATAATTTCCAGCGTTTGACCGCGGATTTGGTACCTTCCTAGATGCTCCATCGGCAATTTATTCGGTATCTTCAATGGGTATTGCCATTCTTACTACCAAGCTACAACTTTTTAAAGAAATAAGTGAAGTCAATTCGTTTACCAACTTTATGCTATCACTCGTCTTTCTGTTCTGTGAGATTTACCTACTCCTTAGCCCCTTATCTTACTCCTGCCCTAGAACAACTTCTGGTTTGTCTATATTGGATTCCTTTAGGTGTGTCCTTTTTTTAGTGAATTCAGTGGGACGTTATCCCACCTGCTTGTTTACCTTGCCGCCCTCCCTTCATCTGAATTTGCCGGAATTGCTTGGACCTCCTATCTGAATCTTATTCCTGACCAGGGATATTCGTTCCTTACGTTTCCGATTAACTGATTGCACTCGGCTTCAGTCACATGAATTTGGTATCATAACTAGTCGATCAGAGCCAAATTGGGTAAAATCCAGTCGAGATTAAGCAGGAGACCCGAGATGGACTTTCATAGCTTGCTTAGGGTATACGAGTTGAATCATAGGGATGACCCGTTTAGACAATGCTTGATATCTGCAAGCTTGGAAATTAACTACGAAGTGTATTCACCTTATTTCGTTATGGTGATAAGGGGACTGTTAGTTAAATTCCTCAGGTAGACATAAAATTTCCAATGAAGTTCACAGAGCCTGGTTTTCCCGAAAGGTTTTCTCATCAAAAGTGGACTGCAATTATCAATAGCATGGTAAAAGGTATTTATGAAGAAAGACTGGATTTCGAAGAATTCTTTAGTGATTTATTGTGACTTTTCGTTTCAAAAGAAAAGAAGATGGAAAGGATTAAAATAAATTGTTTCACAGAAAACCGAAGGAGTATTACTGTAGAATGAGGACTGATGATGTGGTAAGAAGTCCTCAGCTTAGCGTCCTGTGGCTCTGATGAACTTGTGCTAAGATTTCGTCTGTACAGTGACCGACATTTTCAGAGCAAGAACCAATACTTTACGAAATAGCGAGAAAACTATATTAAACCAAAATGGTGGCCGATTGCAACCCTAGTCGCTTTTTTATACACCTAATTTCGCGATCATAATGAGACATCTCGTAATTTGGTCGGCTACTTCAACCATACTCTACATGCTGGCAAATAAGTGAAGTTAATTCATGAACCGGAAGCGAGTTCGGTGGCAGCTGTTTCTTATACGAATAAACTAGTAAACGGTTTTCTAACGTTAAATCATGTTTAAGCTTAAGGTATTGTCTATTGTGTATGTGTAATGTTGATGTTATGGAAATTCTAATAGTCCACCATCAGGCCCCTATTCAAAAGTGAAGTGAAACTTATGATAGAGAGGAATAAACTATTTAAGTTTATATATATTAAGCCAAAGCCCCGGAGTAATCTGGCCAGGAACCTGACTCCGGAAGACTTTCATAAACTCTAGAGCATGACCTACAGGAAATCCCGTATGGTCTCTGACTTGAAAACAAAACGATACGACAATAAATTGCATAAGTTTGGGATTATAAGGCAGTATAAGTTAAAGCCAATGTGCCAAGTCTAAGTGGTTTCCGAGGTGACAACGCCTACTAATCAGCACGACGATAGGAAGAAAGTCGTGAATTTATCATCATTTCCTTTTGATCTCGAAACCATAATGATCCTGAAAAAATGACTCAACTTTTCACTTCAAAATAACAGAAGCAATATCTCCGAAAAATTCCCTGAGGAGACAAAACAGGAAACGAACAGGAATTAATTCCAAAGAGCTTGACACATAAAGAACCAACACACAGCAACAGATTTTCCAGGATATGCAAGATCCTGGAAACGAATGAACATTTAGTCCTTCAGACGGATAAGGGAGGAGCAACACTGATAATGGACAAAATAATATACCAAGAAGATGAAATATATTCGACGAGAAAAGACTACATATCGTGTACTAAAGAAGGACCCAGCTATGAAGATCAATGGCATCTTAAATGGCATGTCGAAAGATATGCATATGAACAAGGAGATTGACGTATGGACAAAAAATTAAATAATAAGAAAGGATGCATGACCAGCAACAGCCTACAGATTACCTAAGATACGCAAAGGCAAACCACTAAGGCTGATAGTCAACAGCAAGTATGGAGCAACACACAAATAGGCAAAGTTCATATGTTTGAAACTCGAAAAATTAAATAAAGCTTATGAAACACAGTGAGACATTCATATGACTCTTCTCAAAGAATCAAAAACATGGCACTGAAAGAAACAGACTTATTGGTAAGATTTGATGTCCAATCTGTGTATAAAAACATCTATAGCTAAAAGGCGCTAACGACCATGCTGGAAATCCTGGGCCAAGAAGAGGATATCCTGGAATCAGAAAGGATTAAAAGGAAGCCGTTAACACGACTAATAAACTTGACTGTAAGGGCATTCTATTTTACATTCAAAGGGATCATCTACGAACAAATATTTTGACTTCCCATGTGATCGCCGCTCTCACCTCTCTTGATAAACGTAAGCATGACCAAATTAGAAGAGAATTTCAATATGTAACCGCTATGATCCTCAGAGCTCATGCGGTACCTGGACGATTACCTCGCACCTTGGTCACATGGAAGAGAAAAATTGGAAGATTTTCTTAAATGTATAAGCCAGATTGATAAAAAAAATCAAATTCACAATGGAAGTATATGAAGGTGAGCCATGTGCGTGATTCTAGGGCCTTGAAAAACAGGGCCTGGAGTAAAACGTACATTGGGACTGGAAACGAGTGAAATCGGTCAACCAAAAAGATAAGAAAAGGAGCTATGGCACAAAGACAGGGATCCAGATAGGAGGCCTGAGTCGGATTAGCCGATCGTGAGAGAGGGCCAAGGTGAACAGCAGGTGTGACGAGGCCACACCATACTTACCAAAAAGGGGCACACCACATGATGAGTAGGGTGTAAACAAGTCAGAAGTTATGATAGGGCGGGAGTGGGGTAAGAAGATAAGGCGTAGATAGATGGGCCAGGACAGAAAGAGGAATGATAGCACAAGCGTTTTAGCAGAAAGTTGTTCGAAGGATTGACTTCGCTTGTCCTATTGACGACTTATAGCTGCGAAGAAAAGTTGGGTTTCGAGGACTCTTTTGTTT